CTTCAAGGTCTCCACCTTCTTTTGTTGTCTCCCCTCCCCAGTATTGAATTTTAGACTACAAACGCTTTGGAATAGGGTCCTAAGTTCTGGCATTCTTACATTCTGTAAAGTGCCACAAAGCACTGATAATACAACAACTGTAGTGAAATGTGAAGAGGGGAGAAACCAGAAGTCCTAACCGGAAGTGTGGGGTGGGAAGCAGAAACTACTCAGGAAAGGAATCAAGTGAGGAAAAGGTGTTCTGTTTGCATGTTTGCAATATATAGTTATTGAAAGTCACAGAGTCTCTGGCGTTAATCTGACAACAGTTACAACTATAACAACTATCTTGTTTTTATATGTTTTATATATTCTGCCACATGGTGCCCTTAATTGTAAGCTGCCCTGAGCCCGTTCACGGGGAGGGCGGGATAGAAATTTAATAATAAATAAATAAAATAAATTTTAAAAAATAACATGTATCAACCTTAACAGTCAACAGAAATACAGTTCGAGCCTTGAACTTACAGAATCTCTTTCTTTGCAGACATTGTCCTCTTTCAGAGGCTCCAGCCTCGGACTCTAGAGAAATGCAAAAATTTGCCAAAGGGAAACATTTTATTCAAGAGGTTAAAACATTTGATGGCTTTGTGAACATCCTCAGTGGACAAAGCAAGACCAGATTGCCAACCAAAGCATGTAAAAGCAGACTCTGTGGAAGGTTCACTATACAAGTAATGTGACAGGTTCAGAACAGGCTCTCCAGCTTTGGAACTCCATTCCCCTTGACAGTCAGACCATCTGCCAAAGCCTCAACCTGAATATTTCCCAGAGGCAATGCCAGATATTTGGAATAGTTTCTAGGAATAAACCTTCTGCTGCTCCACTTCTCTGCCCCCAGGGGCAGAGCTTCCAGAGAGCTGATTGTCAGATGGCCGGCTGTCAAAGGGTTAGCTGTCAGTGACCAGCTGACTTTGTGGTCCTACCAGCCCTGGTGGGTGCCAAGTTTGACAATTCAGGGTGCAGAAGAAGGTGCAAAAACCCCAACATGAGGACCAGGCAGAGTGAAACAAGAAAAAGGTTTATTTTATAGGAGGTCAAACAACAAGGTGCAGAATAATAACAATAAGTGAGTGAAAAGAAAAGAAATCAAATGCCCTAACGCGTCTAAATATACTTTCCCTAGCTCACTATCTCAAGTGGCCTTACACTACTCACCCCTCCCTCAGGATGAGGGTTTTTCCCCTGCAGCAGCCTTTCTTCTGGCTCTGCCCTCTGGAAGAAAGAACAACTCTTCCTGCTGCTCCAGAACTTTTATTCCCAGCCCTCCTCTTTTCCTATTGGTCCATTTTAGCTCCAAAACCTCCCAGGGGCTTCTGGGAGTTGTAGGCCCAGCCTCACCTACTGCTAGCCAGGCTCCTTGGGTCTAGTAGGCCTCTGGTGGCACAGCCCAGATCATGACAGTCCCTCTTGTCACATTAGAAGAGATATTCTGGAATTTAGGCTAGCTTCACTTCACTGCAAGTATTTAGACCTTAACTGAATGATTCATCCCACACTCATTCTTGAATTTACACCATTGGGAAGTTTATTACTGGAACCAGGGAGCTCCAGCTACCCTAATCAGTTCTGTTCTCTGAGGCTTTAACTGTCCCTTTGTGACTATCCTGGAAACAGCATCATAAATCATTTTGCTGAAGGGGAGAACTTTTCTAAGGATTCCATTGCTACTTTGTTCTGAAATATCCAATACTGTACATTGAACAGACACAATCTATTAGATAGATGGTCCACATACACATATACCTCAAAAGGCACATATGGTAACATATAAGCTGTTCCTATACATTTCAGCCTCATTACGGTTGCCAAGGAACAACAGAATTGGCAGCTGAAGCTTTTCATGGCGTGTGGAGGTAAATAATATCACCTAGTTTAAAAACAACAACATTCCATTCAGCCTGTGTGAAAAGGGGCAGGACATTTTTCTCCAGGCCTATGGGCAACTTAAACATTGTCAATAACTGTTGTTTCTGTTAATGAAATCACCATCATTTATCTTGTATGTGGGCTCTTTATCCTTTAATATAAAATTCCCCAGGGTCCCTTTACTGAGAGCTGTGACTGCTAAACAGTTTCAAAGAGGGTTTTGAATTCTAGTATAAACATGTGAAGCAAAGGAACAATGAAAAAACTATCTGCACTATTTGTCAAGACAGATATAGTCTCCTGGATGATAGGAAAAAATTAAACATCCCCCCCCCCACATACTTCACTCATGCATCCCTAGCCCTATCATAAGTTTATATTTTTTAAAAAACTTGGTGAGTTCAAAGAACTAGAACAGGGATCAAGTTAGCAGTATTTTGGTCCAAGGCTCAAGTAGGAATCAGAATCGGGGTGGGGATGGGGGAAATGCATCAAGACCAAAAAGATTCTCCATTTTGCCTCATACCGATTGAATATGCTGGCTCACCTGACATTCCAGCTTCTCAATGAGCTGCTGTAGCCGATTCATCTCAGTTGTCCACTGACTGTCCACTTCCACGCAAACACCTGGGTGTAACATGAGCCGAGAGAGAGGGCTGAGCTGAAATCATACTCAAGGCAGCTCATGGTAGCAGTTCAGGATATAAGGATGACTTTGGTAGGACCAACAGCCAGGCCGATGGCATGGCAAGGCTCTGCTATTGACTTTTAGCACAAATTAGATAGATGTATTTGCTTTGTATTTCATTCCCACTCTCTGCCTCACAAAGGAAGGCGATGCTTATAATGTAGGCTTGCCAAGTCCCCCTGGGGGGGGGGGAACCCCTCACCCCAGAGGCCCATTCCCCGCCGGCGGCGTATCAGGCCCTGGGGGGACCCCGCCCCCAAAGTACGCGACGTGCACGTCACCCGGAAGTGACGCAACCATGCCGGGCACGCTGGGGGCGGGGCCACGGTAATCCGAGGGAAAACTCTATGGTTTTCCCTCAGATGGTCGTGGCCCCGCCCCCAGCATGCCCGCGTCACTTCCAGGTGACGTGGATGTGGTGCACGCACGTGCTCCAGGAGCGAACCGGGAGTCCCCTGCTCCAGATGAAGGTACGACTTGGCAACCCTATTATAATGTTTGCTTTGTAACTGCAAATATTTAATATTTACTTATTTATAGTTCACCTTTCTCACTGAGACTAAAAGTGGATTACACAGTATAAACTGATAACAGTACATACAAAGAGACATCTACTAAGCACAGAGTAGGATGATATAATCAGTATGAGAACACACCTAAAAAGCCATCTACGTATGAGGACTAGGATTACTAAAATCTGCATGAGAGTAGCATATTAGACATGATACAGAGTGTGGATATAATGAAGATAAGTGGTATTATATCAGTAGAAAAGAGGAAGTGACAAGAGGGTGATATGTCTTGAAAACTGTTAATATCTCCTATACACAGTACTATAACCTAGTCTTCCCTTTACAAAGTGCCTTCCTGAAACAGTCTGTTATAGAACAGCAATTTGCTCTTTTGCTGTAAGAAAGACAGGAACTCTGTTTAGAAAGCAGCTGTGCCCACTTCCAATGTTACATTTTCATTCATGGGCTCCTAAACTGCTCCTTTGACAAATCTGTCGAATGGGAGAACCTTTAGTCTGTGTCTCCTTGAAAACCAGAAATGCTGTTTTGAGCTTTTTCTAGGACTGCCATTTAGAACCAAAGCAGAGACTAACTTCGATATCACAGGGGATTCATGGTCTCTGTCGACCTGCACCTTCCCCGTAAAACTTAGTAAATGACATTACTACCCTCAGTATTTCTCCACACCCTGCAAGCAGCAACCAAGAAGATCAGAGAGCACAGACTTTCACTGTACATGGTTTTTAAAACTAGATCCTATCATGAAGGTGTGTTGGGGCACACAGTTTGGAGACAACCTCAGGTTTCCTGTGATGCCCAATTAGGCCCTGATTTGCTGCAATTCATTAGAAAGAAAGCAGCTGTGCTTCTGATAATTGACACTGGGCAGGCACAGGTGTGGAGGCTCATCACTTGGTCACATCAGCAGACTTGCATGTGTGAATCAGCCTTCACAGGTTAAATTTTATACACCGAACTCTCCATCGATTAACTAATTTAATTTACTTGAATATCTATAAATATATTATCCCCTGTTTTTCTCCTGACCAACTGGACTCAAAGCAGCTTAAATGAAACAATCATGGTATCACATCGACAGCCAATACAACTAAAAGGAAGCAAGCCACGAGCTTCACTCAGGGGCTACCAAAGGCATGATGGAAGAACTCAGTTTTACAGAGCCTCTGAAAGCTGCATAAAATTGAGGCTTCCCTCGCATCTTCATGAAGTCTCTTGCCCAGCACAGGGGCAGCCACAGTCAGCTCTGGGTCAACATGTCCTCAAGGAATCAACAGATGAGAAATCCAGTGATGCCTATACACACAGGAACTAATCCACTGTTGCATATTGACGTTGCTATTGCATTTTCCATCCAGTTATTTCCATGACCCATTATTAGAAGAACATTGCTGTTTCTTAGTGCTAAAGACACAGAGAATTTGAATGGGGACCTGTCAATACCTGTGGTCAGCATCCCTGAATAAGGATCTGTAGGAGACAAGCAGATGTTCTTCTGGGCCCTACGGCCACATCTTTTCACAGCACGTGGGCCAACAGACACTTCTGATTTCTTCACTTCAGTCCTAGAAAGCACCAAAACAACATAATCCATCTACTGTAGTAATGGCTAGTGGGTTGGATCCAACCAACTTTTGTAATGGTGAAAAGGGGAGGAAGAGGGTCCCCTTTGATCAACAAAAAGGCTATGATGGGGATCAGAGGACCTGCCTGGGCAAAAGCCATGTGGGATGGGAGCTGTAGTAAGGAGGGGAATAAGACTGAGATTGCATCAAAAACTTGGCTGAGTCCAACCCAGTGCATGGAAGTGAATCTGTACATGCAATTCCCTAACACATCTAGACACTATGGCTTGGATCCTATGAATGTACTCCAAGCATGCTTGACGGTCTCTGCTGTGGCATCCACTTCCACTGGCTCCGCCATTTGCACAAGAACAGTGTTTTTCAGTGAGCCCTTGTGCTAGTGTAGGATTTTTCAAATTATATTACCAATCAGGAAAATGCTATCAAGTGAGTCTTCTTCAGCAGTTTTTTTTTTAAAAAAAGACCAGTGGTTCTCAGTTCCTCCCCAACTGCTATTATTATTCCTGAACCCAGAATGGTACATCTGAATGGCAACTCCCCAGGCTCCCAATCCTATACCACAGAATACCAACAGAAATGCAAAACTGGAAGCAGTATAGCTCATAGTACTGCTGCCTTTTCCCCATAAGCTTTCTAGCTAGGTAAAGGGGACAGCAGAGAACAAAGACCCATATGCACTTAACTTTAGAAACTGAATACACCTGGCTCCCTAGATAAGCTAGTATACCTTAATTTATGGTTGCCAGAGGCCCACAGCTGGTATGGCAAGGCAAATCCGTCTGGGACTGGATAATGAGGAAGAGAAAAAAATGGGAGCACTCTGGGCAGGAGGAGGCTTCCCGGAGGGTGCTTCTGTTATCATTTTGGCTTCTTTTGTAGCTTTTAATCAACCCAATCTGTATATTACCTTTCCCGGCCAGCTTGTTCTTCAATGGTGTCTGCAGCACATTCCAGCGAAACGTGCAGAGACTGCAGTTGGTTCATTGTCTCACGCAGCAGAAAGCGGGTCATAAACTGTTCCATCTTAGAGGAGCTCTCATATTCCTGGAGGATAAGAACATGGGAGGGGGAAAATGGGTGAGCAGCTGAGGACTAATAAGCAAACTTCCCAAGAAGTTTCTCACCTTGTTTAGTGCACCATGCCTTCTACTATGCACACTTTGTGAAGAAGGCTCAGAGTTGGAGGTAGCTGTGGTGCAGCTACCCTAATGTTGACCTAGATTCCAAGCAACAGTGGAAAAACTCAGGATTTTATGGCTGTAGTGCAACTTTTTAAAGATCCAAGGTGGAGCCTCAGATCTCTCAGAATTACAACTAATCTTGAGACTACAGAGATCAATTTCCCTGGAGAAAATGGCTGTTTTGCAGTGTAGATTATATGGCAGTATACTTTGTTGAGGTTTCTCCTCTTCCCAAACCCCACCCTCCCCAGGAACCACCCTCAAAACTCACAGAATATCCTGACCCAGAATTGGCAACCCTCTCAAGATTAACCTCTTAACCACACAATAAAAAGGTAAAGGTTTCCCTTGCTCGAAAGCCAGCCAAATCCAACTCTAGGGTACAGTGCTCATCTCCGTTTCCAAGCCGAAGAGCCAGCACTGTCCGAAGACGTTTCTGTGGTCATGTGGCCGGCAGGACTAGATGTCGAGACGCACAGAATACTGTTACCTTCCCACCAAAGTGGTACTTATTTATCTACTTGCAATTTCTTGCTTTTGAAATGCTAGGTTGGCAGGAGCTGGGACCAGAGATGGGAGCTCACTCCGTCATGCGGCACTCGGGTCTTGAACTGCTGAACTACCAACTTTCTGGTCTGCAGTTCAGCGTCTTAACCACTGAGCCTCTGCAACCACATAATACTCCATTCTAATTTATAGTAATTCAAAAAACGTTCTACTGAGCCAAGAGGAGTACAGGAAAACAGAATTACAAAAGAAATAGAACATGTCTACATTTACCATCTCCTTCTTTTAAAAACACTATTGAAGCCGAGAGAAATCTGAGCCTCTGTTTCCCTCACTTTCCCTCTGAATACTATCATTTTCAGTACAATTCTTTTCTCAGTATTCAGTAGTGGTGGGCACGAACCAGTTCACGAACCAAAATTCAGCACAAAGTTAGCACAGTTCAGAGCCCCTGAACCAATGTTTGGGAAGGCGCCTTCCCCGAATATTTACCAGACTTTTGTCTGGTTCGACTGTTTGGGTCATTTAAACCTAACAACTGAGTGGTGCGGGTCCACAGCTCACCTGTTAGGCTTAAATGGCTGCAAGCAGTGTTCCCTCTAAGCTGAGTTAGTGTGAGCTAGCTCACAGTTTTTCAGCCTCTGGCTCACACATTTTTGTCTTAGCGCAGGAAGGATGGCTCCAGAGCAAACTAATTTATGCAGTAGCCAAATTGCTTGCTCACAACTTTAATGCCAGTAGCTCACAAAATAGGATTTTTGCTCACAGCACTCTGCAGCTTAGAGGGAACATTGGCTGCAAGCCATTTCAGTGGTGGGTTTACTTCCTCCACTTGAAAGCCTAACAGGGGGGCAGATCCACCCATCAGCTGTTAGCTTTAAATGGCTGTGAACCATTAAACCCATCAGTTTGAGACAGGGGGAGCAAATGGATGGGTTAAATGGCTGCCAGCCATTCAACCCTTCCCAGGTGACCCCCCCCTTCTCCTGGCCCCAAAGAAAGGGGGACCCAAACTGTCTGGTTCAGGGCATTTTTTTGCTCAGTTCAGGAACTGCCCCAAACTTCTATCTAAACCAGAATTTTTAGGTTCATGCCCATCTCTAATATCCAGTTTTCCTGATGCTGGAGCTTTTCCTTGGTCTAACATTTCATAATTGGAGGGGCTTTGGGATTTATAGTTGTGATATTGTATATGTGAGAGTGGGTGTTACCTGGTTATGCAAATCCCCCATTTGCAGGTTTTTTTCCTTGTGAAAATGCTACACCTTACTGTACATTTCCCACAAACAATTGTAAAAGAATGTAAATTAACATTTCAGGTCTTTTGTGCAGATGATAACTAAACAACAATTATAGTGAGAATTACAATCTAAAGAAACGTTAAAGTGCTCTCATACAAAACTATTTCCAGAAGACCATCTGATCAATACATATAAATAACATATCTTTGTGAAGTCTCATATCAAGATCTGAGGACCTTGAAAGTCTGTAAATGGGGCTCATATTTCCGTCATCCAACAATAAATTTAAAAAATGAAACCCACAGGTCTTGGCACATTTATTGTCCCTCTTCATTTGATATTTTACCTTAACCACTGAAAGTAAGCCATAGTTTTTTTTAAAAAACCACTGGGTCCTTTTTGTTGTTGTTGGCCTCTAAGACCAATAAATAAAAGCATTGGAGCCACTGAGCTAAGCTAAAAACTGCAAGCAAAGGCTCTTTATTTTCTCACACACACACACATGCACACACACACACACGGAACAAAGGGACTTCCATTTTTAGCCATGCAACTGGGGCACAGGTGATAATACAACACGGTAAAGCTTCCTCCCCCACTCTTCAGTACACCAAACAAACAACAGAAATGATCTGTGCAAGCTAGTGGTTCTTTTCATCCACCCAGACAAAACTCGTATTATGAATGTACATACACTTATTCGGCCTGACCTGATTATATAATTGCAGTCTTGGTGATCTGGCATAAACATCGATGTTGAGGGATCATCTTTTGATTAATACTTTCAAGGTCCAACTAGAGAACATAGTGGCATAGCTTGAACTATGTATTAGAACACAGGCCACTTGAATAGGCACAATTTAAAGTGGGAAAGCAGCAGGTAGGTAGAAAACACTGAATCTTTCCCTGAGCACCCCCCCCCTTCAAAACTCCTTCCCCATAGCTGATTTTCTCCTAGAAGAGGTTTACATCCGATCTCAAAGCCCAGCTGGGAGAAAAGAAACAAAGATGAGAAGATCTCAGGGAGAAAGCACCATCTTTGAAGGGGGAAGAGCCCATCACAACCCTCTTTGATTGCTGCCCTATACAGAATCTCCCCCTGCACACATACTTTTATGTCAGTTTAGCAACATCCCATGTCTACATACAGTTAGACCCAGTGTCATTCTGTGATCTCTTTGTCAAGGCAGAAGAAAGGAAATCAGGCACTAATTGGGCTTTCAAAAGACTGACAATAGAAAGGAGGCACGTTATGGCTATTGGTGGTGCTGTGCTGCCAGTAGGTTGTGGGCAAGCCTTGATTACATAAATATGTTTATCACTAGATAACTGCAAGTTCCAGTAGAAAAAAACTGGGTGTGCAAATGGGCCATCACAGATATGAAACAATGAAGATATTCTAGTGCTTTTCAAAGGAGTGGTCCATATATTTTTGCTGTGGTCAAGGGATGCCAGTCCCCAGGTAGGGGTGGGGGGTCCCCCAATTTTTGGGGCTCCCCTCAGACACCGGCGAGCTGGCCAGTAGGGGGAAGCCCCGACCCAACAGTCGTCCACGGCCCCACTTGAAAAGAGTGAGCACTATGTGCACCTGCTCTTTTCAAGCAGCAGCTGTTCGCACCTCCCCCACAACCTGCAAGTTTGCTTGCAGGGCAGGCAAGCACGGTGCCCACTTTCCTCCCAACCATTTAAAGGGAAAGTTCCCTATAAATGTTTGGGGGAAAGTGGGGGGTAGGGTTCCCAAATCCCCCGAGGGGGGCGGATTTCCCCCCGCTTTCAAGGCCCGATTCCCGCTCTCGCAGAATCGGGGCCCGGGGGAAACCCCACCCCCGTGTGCACACCACCCGGAAGTGACATCGCATGCTGGGGGCGGGGCCATGCCATTTGAGGGGAAAACTCTTTGTTTTCCCCTCAAATGGCGTGGCCCCGCCCCCAACGTGCGACGTCACTTCCGGGTGACGCGCATGCGCGCACGATTTGGCCGCTACCGGACAAAATCCATTTGGCAACCCTAGTTGGGGGGGGCGTGTGCGCATGGTGCTGCATCCCTGACACTCTGCATAATGTCATTGCATTGAGGACAACTCCACCCCCTCTTGGAAAGCCCCCCAAATCCCCCTGCCGGGGAGAAGATGTGACCTGGCAATCCTACTGTGGTAATTGATTGTAGAGTGACATAGTGATCAATATCCATGTGTGTATCAGGCCACTGAATGCCAGCATCTCAGATACAGGCGTGTGCCTGTATAAGGACCAGTCTAGATGTTACACAGCAGATGCTACTTTTCCGCTGCTTATACATTTAAGCTCCCATAGCGGCTTTCTATTGAACCAAACATGGCATATACTCACCCTTAAGTTGCAGGAAATCCTTCCAGTCCAAGGACACTTCCTTCATTATATGTGGCTCTTCCATTGCTGCCCCCCCCCCGTTAAAAGAAACCCGAAGGAGCTATTTTTGTATTCTGGTTACCTCACCCCCCAATTGCTTTTTAGGACCCAATTATTGGCCAGGCCTCTGTACAGAAGAGTGAAGGGCCATAGCAGATGGCCACACCCGCCTCCCTAGCTGCTAGGGTTACCAACCTCCAGGGGGCACCTGGAGATCTCCCACTGTTAAAATTGTGCTCCAGATGACCAAGATCAGTTCTGCCGGAGAAATTGGCAGCTTTGGAGGGTGGGCTCTATAGCATTATATCCTGCTTAGGTCTTTCCCCTCCCCAACCCCCCCCAGGCTCCCCCCCAAATCTCCAGGTATTTCCCAATCCAGAGCTGGCAACCCTACTAGCGACCCTTCAGTCTTGGTGGCCAGGAGTTACAGTGTATACCACTGCAGGGCCAGCCCATGGCAAAATAGGGAAAGGAGCTGGGGTGGCTGGTGCCAGGCTCACAAGAGTGGTGCAGGGCAGTATACAATTTTCAGACTGTATGACAAAAGTTGCTGCATACCAGAGTAGTCACAACCACACTAAGCCACTGAGATACATTTTTTCAAAACAGGCAATGTAGTTAAGATTAAGCATCCCCAAAAGGGTACCTAGCGAAAGCATCCTCATTCTTTCTCGTTTGTTAATGCATTGGCTAAAAAGCGAGGATTGTGTACAAACAAACAGATGCT